TAGGGTTGTGACTCAACACGGTTTACAACAAAGACACATGTAATGGCACGTGTGGGCTTCATCTTGCTGCGTGGTAAGCGCTGTATTTCGTGTCCTTTTCCCTCAGCCACACGGGCTGTGGGAAGCAGGAGGGAACCTGTTGGAGCAGGAGGCTCCAGTAAACCCTGGCTGTGTCCCCTCCAGCCAATTTGGGGCTTCCTCCTCGGCGGGGCCCCCACAATGTGAGTGTTCCCAGAAATCTCATATCCAGGAGACCCTGGGGTCCCGGGGTCTGGACTCATATGTCACCTACTGAAAGGCGTCATCGCGTCCCCTCCGGTACTGAGAACCAAGAGGGCAGCGCCAGACGCGTAGCTCTGGGAAGGCTGTGGGCAGACAGAGCCTTGGGCACCCCCCCCGTCAGGGACAGCAGCTGGAGGCCAGGAGCGCTGGTCCTTGTCTGTGAGCCTTACACCTGGAAGAAAACTAAATGTTGTGATGTAAAGGAAGGACATCTGCCCCCTCCCCATAACCCCTGAACCATCCAGAACTCCACAGATGCGCTGGATTCAACTCCTTTGACAGAGTGAGCCAAGGTGAACGACTAGTCAGTCTCACCGTGGGTGAGTCCATTTAGTCGTCTTCGTTTGTGAACTGCTGCATGAGCCACTGGAGTGAGAGGAGCCTTGGTGGCCTTAGGGGGGCCTCCAGAGGTGGTTGGGTAGAGGTGTCACAGGGGTTGAATTGTGTTCCCCATAGTTCATGTTTAAGTCCTAGCCCCCAATACCTTAGAACATGACCTTATTTGGAAGTAGGCTTGTTGCAGATGTGGTTAGAGTTAAGGAGAGGTCATACTGAAGTAGGTGGGTCCCTTACCCAAAAAGCTGATGTCCTCATGAAAAAAGGAAATCTGCGCAGAGATATGCACACAGGGAGAAAACCAAATGAAGACTCGAGTTATGCAGCCACAATGCAGGGGACTGCCAGAAGATAGGAGGGAGGCCTGGAACAGATCCCTCCCTTGTGCTGTCAGAGGGAGCATGGCCTTGCCAACACCTTCATTTTGAACGTCTGGCCTCCAGAACTGGAAGACAATAGATTTCTGTTGTTCCAAGGCACCTGGGCCATGGTTGTGTTACAGCTGCCCTAGACAGCAAGGGGTGGAATGGGGAGATGACGACTGGGCTCAGCAGGTCTGGCAGACTCTATCTTCTCAACAATGGTTACAACATACCTCCCATCTACATGCTCTTCTTACAATGTAAGACAATCTTCTCATTGAGTGTGGGAGTCTATGTCTCTTCCACTTGAACTGAGCAGGATTTTGTGATTTCCTTGATCAATTAAAATATGGAAAAAGTTACAAAAGTGTCACTTCCAAGACTAGGTCATAGAAAATCTATGCACTTCTGCCTTGGTCTCTTGGGACACTCACTCTGAGGAAAGCTAGCTGCCATGTCAGCGGTTTGATTGCCCTGAGGCTGCCATGCTGTGAGGAAGCCAAAACTAACCCAAATAGATCACATGGAGAGTCGCTGAGACTACATGGAGAGAGATGCCTGGCCACCACCCCTGGCTGCTCCAGTCTTGCACCACATCTGCTGCAGCCATCACTTGCCTGAGAAGCCACTCCCTGAGAAGCCACAAGCCAGAACTGCCTATCCAAGCCCTACTCAAAGTCTTGACCCATAGAAATTATGAAAGGAAATTAAAAAAAAAAAAAAGTGTTGTTGTTTTAAATCACTAGGCTTTGGAAATTGTTACATAGCCTATAAGGTTTGAGGCAACCAGATATTGGAGAAAGGAAGGCCAGAGTGAAATGGAGACACAGAGATGTTACAGAGAGATAAGTGCTAAAATGTGGCAATGTCCAAAGAAAGAGAGGCAGTTCGGGAAGGGCAGTGGAATCATTCTCTAAGAAGGGCAACACAGTCAAGTGGGAAACACCTGGGCTGGGAGGCAGGTGGCATGTGCTCCCTCCTAGCTCTGCTCTGCACAGCACATGGCTCCAGGCAACTCCCTCCCCTCCCTGGAGGACACTCTGTGAACTCATAAATTGTGTGGGAGAAAATAGCAAACTCCAGAAAGGGGAGCTAACAGGCAAGAATGTGTCCCCCTGCACCAATTCTGGGGTCACCAAGCACTCTCCTCACTGTGATTCAGTGGTTCTCATGTAGACCTTCCTGCTGGAAGATGCATTGACCAGCTGAGACAAATACCTGACCCACTTGGCAACTGTGTTTGTCACAGTGAACGAATACATTGGCACTCCACCTTATGTATCCATCTGATCACCCACGGGACACCTGTTCTGCACATGCGAGGACAGTGACCCCAGACAGTGGTGGTCCAAATGAGGTGTGACTGCTCTGTGGGACACTGCCCGAAAATGATCAGCTGACCTCCCTCGTGGACAACTATTCCACATGGCCACAGGTACAAAAATCAATCTTCTCTCAGGCCAAAAATGGAAGAGGAAAAACCAAGTAGTTCCTCAGAAATAAGGGAAGGATCAGAACTGGGAAATAGTGGGAGCAAGAGGAGAGAGGCAAGGAAGGCCCCTGATGGGAGAGCTCAGGAACCCTTCGACCCAGGCTTCTGGCCCAGGAAAACCCTGCCTGACTTTCCCACATCTCTCCAAACTGCCTTCTCTCCCTCCCTGTCATGGCTGCCACTTAAACATACTATGTCTTGGTCTGAATGTGCTTAAAAAATAAAAATAAAACAGATAATAAATATAATGGAGTTAAAAAAAAAAAAGAAAAGAACAGAGTTGAACGATTTTCTCATCCAGTGTTCTAGATCTAAAATATTCAGTAAAGGTAATTCAAAGCCAAAAAAATAACTGTGGTACTAGCATGTTTCTTTGTTTTCAATGTTTAATTTATGGCATCAAATATTTCATAGGTTCTGATTACTGAGCATCTGTAATCAATAAACATGAATTAATGAAGCAATAACGCATCCAAAATTATTAAGAAATAATATACTTTTGAACCACCTATAGTAAAATGAAGGTTGCAAAATTTCAGGTATTTTTAAAAATCACCATTATAAAATTATAATATATATAATTGATAAAAATTATATAAATTTTATATTATTAAATCTTTTCATATTATAAACTCCCCCAAGGAGAAACATAAATGCTACAAGTATGTAACAGAATGTTTTGTCATCCCATCCTAGTCCTTGCTCCCTCCTCTTCTTCATGCATTTGGGCATTTTATGTGTTAGGTGTAGGGCAAGCCCTGCGAGCACAAAGAGGCTTTGGCCATCCATGGCTGTGACAAGACTACTGTGGGATGGCAGTCTAGAGATGTTTACATAGATACATCACCTGCTGTCGGGCCACAGTTACTGTAAAAAAAGAGAGAGGAAAAAAGATACATCATCTGTACCTATGTAAATATGTGCCTTTTCACTTTAAGTGCCCACCCAAAAATATATCATATCCTAACTATTCTGATTATAAGAAGAAACCATTCCAGAAATAAACTTGCATATCTTTTCTTCACAGTGCAACACTCCTTAAAAGATGGTATGGAAATTGTCCGTGGCAACCCTAAAAACAAAATAAATATAATACAATTGTGGGGTTTTTTTTTGTTTTTTTTTTGAGACAGAGTCTCACTTTGTTGTCCAGGCTAGAGTGAGTGCTGTGGCATCAGCCTACCTCACAGCAACCTCAAACTCCTGGCTCAAGCAATCCTTCTGCCTCAGCCTCCCAAGTAGCTGGGACTACAGGCATGCGCCACCATGCCCGGCTAATTTTTTCTATATATATTAGTTGGCCAATTAATTTCTTTCTATTTATAGTAGAGACGGGGTCTCGCTCTTGCTCAGGCTGGTTTTGAACTCCTGAACTCGAGCAATCCGCCCGCCTCGGCCTCCCAGAGTGCTAGGATTACAGGCATGAGCCACCGCGCCCGGCCTACAATTGTGTTTAATGCAACTCAACAGGCACCAGAAAAGAGAGAAGGACAGTAGGAGTTTAATCCCTGGGTTTAGCTAGGGACAGTAGAGCAAGGAAGAAGCCCAACAGGTGCATTCTTAGAGGCCTGGGACACTGAGAGTGTCTTTATCTGTGACTGATGATTAAAGCCAAAGGGCAGATACCACAGTCAAGGTCAAGGGAGAGCAGAGGTCAAGCCTGAAGTGCAGGATGAAAGCCAGTTTTCAAAATTGGAAGTATCGGGCCTGGGGTGTACAGTCAAGCAGGGTCAGAGAAGTGGGACAGATGAGTGAGTGAGTGACAGCCCTAGGAAAAGCAGCAAGACAGGCGCTGAATAAGGTGAGTGAGGACTCTTGGGGGCTGGGACAGTAAGGGACATCAATGGGATGTTAACCCTCTCAGTGGGGCGCCTAAGTATGAAGAATAAGCACATGGGGGAAGGTGAGTCATGCCCAGCTACAATAAGCCAGTACAGGAAAGGCAGAAATTAGAAGCAAAACCTCTTCTGAGACATAAACATACCATTATTTTTACATTAAAACATTGCAGCTGGGTCCAGGTCTCTGTAGTTTCACTGGAGGTGATAATATTGTCTGATAATTATTGTTCTTAATTTCCCACAAAAGACAGAAAGGCTGAGACCACCTTCATAGATCCCACCAGGCATATTTCCAAGATTCCAAGCTACCAGGCAGGGTTGCCACATAGAGCAGGGCAGGTTTTCTTTCTCTCAGGCCAGAAAATGTGTAAAAAAATCAAGTCATTCATAGGCCATTGTAGAAACTTGCTGGCTACTCCCATGGGGTGGTCCAATCCTACCTATAGGCACCCATGAAATTCCAAGCTCTTGCACAATAAACATTCTCATGAAAGATGAATGAGAAAGGCTGTTTCATGAATATGATATATTGAAGTGCCCTTCACATTCAAGTGGAGGCTGGATGCTCAAGTCAAAGGCGTTGTAGAAGACATTCCTGCTCTAGATGAGAAGATTCCCTCCAGCTCTGAGAATCTCTAATCTATTCACAAGTCATCACTGACAAATGGGATGTAGGGAAGCGTGTGGCATGAGACAAGCTGTATTTAAAGCCACATGTGATAAAAGAGTCCATTAAAAAGCTGACAGTCTTTTTGGAGTCAAAGGACAAAGAAAATTTTGTGGCTCTGATCTTTCTGCCATAAATGCTCAATCCTGTATTCCCCATGTAGGTTGCGGGTGTGGTCAAGAACTTCGAGGACTGAGTCTCTGGGGGACAGAGGAGACCACGGTTCCTAGAGGAGAGAGTGCTGGAAAGGAGGGATCTACAGTCATCGATCTAGTGCAGGAAGGTAGATGACTCTCTTTTGCTCTGGAAGGAAAAGAGGTTTTTAGTCAGATACATGTATGTTTTCTCACAGCTCAAAAATAAAGTATGCAATGTTCAGCAAAATCTGAGAAGTAGGCATTGACAGTTTTAGCCTGCTTTGTCAAGATTTTCTTAGTACTTGACAAACTTTAACTCGAATTCACAAACTCCACAAGATAAAAAGCAGAAACTCACAGTCTGTATTATTCTGGAGAGAGATGTGTCATTGTGAAAAAGAAAAAAGATTTTTTTTTTCTTCATTAGCTATCATTTATTGGATTGGGATTAGTGCTGTACTTTATTTTCAATGAAAACATTAATGACCCACTAACTCTTTGGAGCTGAATTTCTAGTAAAGGGGTTGGTTTTACTTTGGTCGAATAACATGCTTTCGTATAGTATCACCTAAACTGGGGTTGAGGTCTATGAAGAAAAGCCAAGCTCCTGGCCCAGTCTACGTTCAAAGTCATGATCCAGGTTTCATCAATATTATATTTTGATCAACTTGAACAACTAGTGAAGACAGAGGTAGGAAATAACCTTACAAAGCTGGACTCCAAGCTCTATGACAAGAGAGATCATGTCTGCCTTGCTCATTCCTGTATCCCAGCAACAAGTAGAGTGCTTGGAACACAGCAGGTAATTAATACATATTTATGGAACAAATTTTTTCCCCAGAGTACCAAGAAGCTATATACCTCCTATTTCTCCTTCCCTTTTTCCCTACTCCAAATACCACTTTCCCAAGGTATCTACTCTTAAACATTCCATGTTTTGAAAAATGAATTTAGAAGGAAGAGGACTTTCATATGATTGGTATAGAAAAATGTTGACTGAAGTCTGGAAAAAAAGCGCAACATTCCCTCGGAAGTCAATAGTAATTAATAATAAAAATGTGGTTTGAAAAAAATAAATCAAGATCACTGTATTTTCTCTGATCCAACTTCTAGGGGGAAAGTTCACCTGGAGAGAAGTTGCTCTACTTTGTGGATGTCAGGTTATCACCTATGAAAACAGACCACTCTCCTTGTAAGCATTACCCATGCTGTGTGTCCCCTGTGTGGTGGCAGGGTTGTCCCAGGTCCTCCTGTGATCTTAACCTCCTGTGATCTAACCCATTTCTAAGTGAAGCTTGGAGTGGCAGGTGCAGAAAATTAAACTCTCAAGAGCCTCCTAGGATTCTTCCAGGTACCTCACCTCGGGGCCTTCTTCTCCAGGCTAGAAGACCAACGCCAGCCAGGACAATGGCAAGAACAATGGACCCAGAGACAGCTTTCATCACCAAAGGGATACTTTCCGATTCTGAAAGCAAACAAAGGAGGAAAAAATTCACAAGTACCCTTTTCCTTCTATGTCAACTCTCTGGGACTTTGTCCCTGAGATCATTAGGAAACCCAACACTATTTTTCTGACTGTTGCTTCTCACTCATCAATCTCATGGCTAATAAAATAGGTGCTTCTTTTCTCATGTTTAATTTAAAAATTTTTAAATTTGTAATATGGCAAATAGCAATAGATAAAACCCACAGAAACAAAAGCTCGTTGGGGGTCCTCAATAGTTTTGCAGAGTATAAAGAAATCCTAGGACCAAAGACTGTGAGAACCCCTGATTCACAAGAGCCATTCTAACGCATGCTGAGTGGCGTAGTGATCCGTGCTCCCCTCCTGGGCACGCAGCATGGCTTCCTGCTCACCTCTTTCCTCAGCCTCACTCCCCAGACAGCCACGACCCGGTCCTCACCCTGAAGAACCATGTGGAGGCCACAGTGCTCCACATGACAGGAGTAAAAGTCACTGCTCTGAGGATCCAGCTCAATTGAAACCCACGTCTGATAAGTTCCATCCCCACTGGGAAGAATGTCTCCAGAATCCATTTCTTGGACAATTTCTTCTCCATTCTTCCTCCAGACCATGGAAATTTCCGGGGGATAAAAGCCATGAGCTTTGCAGAAGAGAGTTGTAATCCCTGGAAACATTTCTTTGCGATTTATTCTGACCAGTGGGGGCTCTAGGAAGAAAAAAACAAAGTTAAATAGAAGTGTCTTGTGGACCAGGCATACAGCATTAGAACATGGCTTTCCCAATTCATTTGCTTCATTGCGGGAAACATCTAAAACCACGAATGACCAGAAGCCAGGTTCATTAACAACAAATTTATGTGTTATGTATTTCCTACGCGGGCAGCATGCTACGTAATGAAGAATGTGGGGTGAGCTGTGCTCCATCCTCCAAGGAGGGAAGCCATACAACTCTGAGTATTTGGAAAGTGTGCTGGGATTATTTACTGTTGACCTTTGAAATACCCTTACATGTCAAAGAAAACTGACCCACAAGATGTGTAAGTGACTGTCCCTCATAAGTAAATTCATTAAGAGACTAGAAGTTCTTGTACTCAATTCTGTATTTACTACAAATAAATAACACAGAAATCTCTGCTCAGCTTTGGCTCCAAATTGCCCTGTATACTCAGGCCACTTTGATGACTGTCATCAGACACAGACATATGTCATAGATCGTGTCATGGTTGTGCTCTCAAAGGGGCTACAGAAATTCATATCATAGAAGGGCTCCAGCAGTGACAACAAAGAATTATCCATTTGTGACCTTGCTTCCTCATGACTGCTCTGTTAATTTTCCATATGGTCCTGTCCTTAACATTTCCTGCTGAAATTGGGTCACGAAGCCACACAGAGACCGGAGGGCCTGCTTCCTGCTGATCTCTAAGACTCAACTTCTCACCTCCACCTTGTCATCTGCCATCCCAAAATGATGCAGGGAGGAGCCCTCAACTCAACAATATTGTCCTTGTCTTTTTGTGAAGGCATGAAATTTAGTAGTGGAAAATGGCTTTCCAACATTAAAACATAAATATAAATGCCACCAGGAGAGACTGTGCTTTTTTGACAGTGCCTGTGAGAAACTGACTCTAGATCCTTCTTCTGACCAACGGGTTGAGGATCTGTTATGACACTCATGGTAGAGAGGAGGCTTGCGGGGGGAGCAGATGTATTCAGGTCAAACTTCCCACGCACATTGTGTCTAGGAGCTTTCCATAGCATGAAACAGACAACTCATTTTAAATAATAAGATCACACATAAAAAGTTCTGTATTAATTAAAAGTTGAACAATTGAATCATGTCTTTAAGGTATCAGAGGAGCTCTCCGCTGAAAGGAATCTTATCATAAATCCTCTAGTGAAGCAAAGACCCTCTGTCTTCTTTGTAAGTCCAGATTTTCACTCCTGCTATTGCAAGAGCCCTTCATTACTAAACAAGTTGTGAGAATCGCTCCACGTCCCAAAGCATTTCCCAGTTGATTGTGGACAGGATATGGAAGGGTTTGTCTCACTGAAGCCCCCAAAAGGTGGAGCCCTTGGAGTAGCCCCACTCTGTCAAGACATTGCTAAAAAGTAACCAGAGAACGTTCTCACAGGGACTTAGAGATCACAGTAGTTCAACTAAAGACACGGACATCAGGGTAGGGTGGATGTAACCTAGATGAGTGGAAGCTGTGTGCACAACCTGCAGTTCTGGGGGTGCGGGGCAGCCGTCTCCCTCCTCTGTACCTGTTCTTTGGAGGGTGGCATTGCCATACTCCAGGAATCTCTTTAGCCAGGCAACGCATTCTTCTTCCAGCCAATTCTTCTGATACTGTAACTCATGCCGATTGGCCTCCCACGCCTGCTTGGTGACGTGGGCCACGTTATCCACGGCTATCCAGGAGAGGGTGTCCTTGTTGAAGACTAGGAAATCCTGCCCGTCATACGCGTACTGGAGGAATCCCGTGGTGCTTCCGTCCTCCAGCATCTCGCAGCCGATCATCCTCTGGTAGGTGTGAGGCCCTGGAACACACGCGAGCCGGGGAGGGTCTGCACAGGGACCGTGCGGGCTCTCAGGGCTGGAAGCGTCCTCTGCCCTAACACGCAGGCCTGCCATGGCATCCTTGAGTGCCCAGGAGGGTCCCCTTATGGAAGCCCACCTGTCAGCAGGTACCTGTGGAGTACCTACTGCATCCCAAAAGAACATGATAATTCCCGCCTTGGAAGTTATCCCATCATGGGAATGATTAATTGATAAACTTTATGGCTATTCTGAGTGTGGTGGAGGAGGGAGAGGGGGCCAGGAGCCAGAAATATCCCTGGGAAAGTTAGTGTCATTATGCTAAGCAGCAGATCACTGAGCCTGGCCACCAGGAAGTGAGACACGGACCACAAGACCGGGCAGACTTAGGATGGGAAAGGAGCAGTTGCATGTCAGAGACTGAATGGGAGTGGGCTGGGCAGGGGTGGAGGGGGACAGAGGGCTCCGGGGGAGGAGACGGACCACTGGGAAGAGGCACAGGGCACATGGGAGACACTGAACTCATGGACCCAGTTTCCCAGGATTTGCCAAAAGCCACAGCAAGTGCGTGTGAGTCAGCAGCTGCTCTCACGGGAGGTCAGCCCAGGGGCCTGTCTGCTGGGTGGGGGCTGGTGGGGACAGCATGCATGTCTGCCATGTCACACCTGAGTGGTTGTAGCGCCTCTGCAGGTTCCTCAGTTCCATCAGGGACGCGTGCTGCCAGCCCCTCAGCAGCTGCGTGTACCTGTCCCAGTGATCGGGCGCCAGCTTCTCCGCCATCCATGGGGCCTTTGGCTCCTTCCGCCGAGTGACACTGTCATACGTGGTGATAGGGTGAGAGTCCACATAGCCAACAGAAATAAACTCAGGTAGCCCCTGGCCAGGATCTGACACGCCCAGGCGGAAATATCTCAGAGAATGAGTCCCTGGGAAGGAGGCAAAGAAGGGAGACCGGGGTCACAGAGGATCCCAGCCTTCCCCTGACCACACACCCGTGCCTCCTGGCCCAGCTGCTATCTCCTATTACACAATTATAGAACCCCAGCAATTAGAGCCTAGAGGGGACTTCTTGAGCTGCAGCCCCGTGACTTGGAGACTTTTTTGCTCAGATTTGGAAATTTAGGATGAAATTTTACAAGGTGATCTCCTCTTTAATCAAAGCATAGAGCACTGCTCTGGAGGGACCAGCCACTGGGCCCCTGGTGGGAGCTGTCCTTATGAGATTGAAAACCCTGATAACCCCAGCCCCTTATTCTACCAAGGAAGCCTCTGGGTGGAAAAATGAGGATGCCCACCCCACCCCTGTGTGTGCAGGCGTGGGCATACATCACACACACTCAAACACACACACACACACACACACACACACACACACACATACCGGGTCAGTCAGAGCAAGAACTCCCGCAAGGACTCTGGCCTCCTGAGAAAACTTTCTAAACACACAATGCTTTTCCTGTTACACCAAGCCACCGCTGTTAACCATTTTCTCATTCTTTTTCTACTTTTTCTAATGGCTAAATATCGCTCTAAGGATAGCAATGATCAGTAAGGTTAAAAGTAAACTAAAATGAAACACAACTGTGTCACCCTCTCCGCCACTCTCACACTGAACTCTGAGCTTGTGCAGGAAGCTCAGGGTCTGGTGGAGGCAGGCAAGGTGGTTTCAAAGCAGCATAATGGATGCTATGATGGGATCTTGCTGGAAGGGGCCTTCGGGATGATGTCTAGGGGACATCTCAGGGACAGAAAGGAGGTGAACAGGCTCAGGGGCTAGGAAGGAACATGGGGGTAGGGGAGGGGGAGCAGGGTGGAGCATGCCTAGTAACCAGATGACCTAGGACAGCCGGAGCACAATGTCACAGAAAGGACAAGGAGAGGTAATCCCGAAGAGGCAGGAAGAGCCCAGGTTGAGGAGGCCACAGCCCCCATGCCATGCCAAAGAGCTGGCAGACAGAAGTCACGCAGCAACGACAGTGTTCTTCCCCTACTCTCCCCACTGCTGTCTGGAAACACCTATGTCTGAGCCTTTTGTCTTGTTAGCTCCTGCCATTTCTGACCCATCTAAATCCTTCCCAGTCATCAAAACCCATCTTCAAAAACACTCCCAGGACCAGCCTTGACATCTGCATAGCTGAGTCAAGATGACAAATGAAGCCTCACATACCAGCGATACAGATTTTTAAAAGGAATAAATCAAGCTAACAAACTGTTAAATACGGTCTATCCTCCTACCTTGAGAAATGGCTTCCATGTGACCTTGAAGGGCAAGCTCAAATTGGATATCTCAGACTTTGTGAAGTTCTGGATAGAGAAAGCTGGCCTCCACCCTCCAGCCCCAGCCAGAGACCTGCCTCCTCCTCTTCCCACTCTGGGATCCATCCTGCCCTGCCAAGGGACTTGTGCCCATATTTAAATACCCCTGCTTTCTCATTCAAGCTCCAGCCACCAGCACTGCCTCTTGGCCACCCCTCAGGCCCAGCGGGTCCCTCACAAGCCGCATAGTCTACTCTTAGGAGGATGGACCCAAGGAAGAGCTTGCTGTGTAGACCTCAGCAGCCCTGGGTCATCTGGGCAGGGGACTCCAGGTTCCTGGGTCTCTGGAGTACAGTCTAGAGTGGAGGGGCACAGACACAGGGTGCCATCTCCCTTGGTGGATCGTAGAGTACCAGAGTGGGGGTCTCAGTGTGGGACCACTTCTGGGGCTTCTCTTGCCTCTAAGAGCTATACTAGATACCACTTGCCCAAAGTCTTTCCAGACTGCCTAACCCAAGGCTGCTGTCTCCTTTAGGAACTCCCCTAGCACTCGGATCTTCTGATGCAGCCCTTGTCACTGTGGAGAACGTTGCACAGGTGTCAGGCTCCTATTCCCCATGCTGAATACCACTTCATCATGTTCATTCCTTCTTCTTCATTTATAGAGTTTGGGTGGGTAGGGAGGGGAAATCAGCTCACAAAATTAGCTTCTGTGCAAGCAAGTTTGTATAGACTTTTTCTTTTCTCCAAAACTGCTTATGAAAAAATTCATAATGTGCTGATTGTCTTTGACAACTGACTACCCCAAGGCCACAGGGTACCCTTACCTGAACTATTAGGGGACACAGGATACCCTGAGACTGAACCAGTCTTCCTGGGCTCCCTCTGGCTGATCGTGCCAGTTCTGTAGAGCCAGTGTAAGGACATCTCTCTCCCTGCTCCTGGAGTTCCAAGTGGGTGCCCCTGCCTGCTCCAGGCAGGGTTTAGCCTGCATGTCAGCTGCAGTGCTGGCAAGACGTAGGCTGGTCTCCTGCAGGCCTGGGCAGCACAAGGCCCCAGTGCCCCTCTGTGTTGCTCTGACCTTGCACTTCCCCCTTTCCCTTCCTGTGGTGGGCGGGGCTGGGGTGGGAGGCAGCACAGCGGAAGCTCTGAGGGTGTCATAGATTCTGCCTTCATAAAAGTGTTGGTTCTTATGAAAACAAGAGCCAGAGGTTGAAGCAGAAGCAAGAATTCTATCATACAACCAAACAGCTACCAAATTCTGCCTTCCATTCTGATTCTCTTTGCTTACCTTCTGCCTCCTTCTCAATCTTGAGGCACTTATGATCTGGGACTTAGCTTTTGTCCTGTGTATTTCTGCAAGGCCTAGCACAGGGAGCTTGGCCCATGGTAGGAGCTTGGAAAATATGTGGTGAATTGAGTTGTTGAGGAAACACTTTATTTCTCTGCTTTAGAAATATGCTGAAATGATTATGAATCTATTTAACCTAGAACTTATACTTTAAAAATATTTCTCAGTAAAGGGGAGGGGGTGAATGCGGAGCAGAGCTGAAATCTAATCTGCATACGATCTGGAATCTGCAGAAGGTGTATATGCTTGAATCTGCAACCGGCTTTGAAATAATCCTATTTTCCCACAACTGGAAAGGTTTTCTGGCTACTCTGAAGACATGCAACTGTTTAAAGAAGTAGGCAAAAGGAGGAACAAGTTACAAATTTAGTTCTCATACTTTCTCAATATTCATTTGTAGATTCAACCTCTTCTGTGCCAGCCACTCTTCTAGGCCCTGAGTGCACAGCAAACAAAACAGATAAAATTGCCTGCCCTAGGTTGGGCACAGTGGCTCACACCTGCAGCCCCAGCTATGAGGGAAGCTGAGGTGGGAGGATTACTTGGGCCCAGGAGTTTAAGGGTGCAGTGAGCTATGATCCAGCCACTGCACTCCAGCTTGGGTGACAGAGCAATGAAGAAAAAAAAGTCTGGCTTCCTGGAGACTACATTTTAGTGGGAGAAAGGGAGGCAGACAGGCAATGCAAAATAAACAAAGTATATATGTTTCTAAGTGCAGTGGAAAAAAACTAAAGCTCCAAAGAGGAATAGGTAACAAAAGTTTAAACAAGAAGGCCTGTTAGGGAAGACTTCCCAAAAAGGTGACTTCTGAGCAAGTGCCGGCAGGGAGAGAGGAGGGCCGGCAGACTGGGCAAGAGCGATCACGCAAAGGCCCTGGGGAAAGAACTGTGCCTGGCACGTTCCAGGAGCTGCAAGAAGGCCTATGGCTGGAGCTGAGTGAGTGAAGGGGAGAGAAAGAGGCAGAAAACACTTCCACAGTTATTCTTAGGGAAAAAACTCACAGAAAGCAGATTCCAGACAAAAAATGGGGAAAGGAGAAAAAAGAAGGAAGAAAAATGAAGCTGTGTTATCAAGCTAAGTTGGATTGGTGTAGACTTCCCCTGCAATCTGGGCTTTTGTTTTGTTTTGTTTTATGACCTCTGGGGTCTACATTCCTAGTAGATGCCAATAAGCAAAAAATAAAAAAGTATTAACAACTTGGGGCATTATTGCCCAATGGGAGGATTTATTCTAAGTGAGTATCACCAACATCATCTTCAAACATAATAGTTACAATTCATGTAATTTGGCTTTCTTATAAAAAATTTGCATTATCCAGAGTTAAAAGAGGGAGATAGAGGGAAATATGGTCTGTTGACAATACTGGCCAAGTACAGTATAGTGTCCTTTTTCTGTCTCAATCTCAGTCTAACTCCTGGCATGGGAAGTTTTTCTCCACCAACCAGCCAGCCATGACTTCAAAGACTGCTGGGCCCCTAGGCTGGGTTCTCTCTGCTGGTCACCTGCCTGTGTGCCCCTCGTACAGCCAGAGTGGCTCTGCTCAATGACACCACAGCCTCCTGCTGTTTGTCTGCCATGGTTACCTGTTTGTCTGCCGTTACCCAGCTGGTGCTTCTGCAGGTACAAGGCAAGCTTGCTCCTTAGCTGGGCTTCCAAAATATCATCTCAGCAGCAACAGAAAGTCGGTTGACACTTAAGTTAGTAACTCACAAGATGGGGACAAGTTCATGGTACCTTTTCTTCTCATAGTATGTTAAACCTTGTGATCATTTATATTCTACCAGAATATGTTGTCCAGGTGATCAGATTTCTACTACTATAACTATTAAGGTTGAATCATTTGAAACAACCAATTTTGAAGTGCAAAAATGGCAATTTCATACCCTTCGATCTAATTTTCTGGTTCTCTCTTCTTGCTCTAATAACTATGAAATGAGGTTTCTTTCTCCTTTTCCATGAACAGATGATCAGCATTTATTCACTATTGACCTGAAATCTACACTTTAGAAATTGATCTTCTGTTCAGGCCAGCCAAGTTCTCAAGGGGCATTTGCTGCCCCGCCCCATCAGCTTCTGATAGACATTGCTGGAAACCTGAATGGCACAGCCAAACCACTCTCACACAGGTGCAGTGGCCACTTTATAGTCCTGTAACCTGTAAACTAACCAGTTGGGCCATTTTTTATAAAAGGCTGTGAAAATCACTGGATTATGACATAATTATTAAAGTATTTTCAGGCATTCATCCATGGGGTCATTTTTAATTGATTTAGTATCTACTATGCATAAGGAATTATGAGGCGATGTTAGGAAGAGAAG